AAACACGTTTTGTAATTGTTTTAGTAATTTAAGGGTGTTTTTGTCTTGTTACAGTAAAGGGGTCATTTTGGAAATATGGTTGAGTGTAAAAGTCAAAATGGAATTAGGTCACTTTGACTAGGTCATTTTTAAAAGAACCCTGCAGGGAGGAAACTCAGGCGCAGGGAAGGGCTGAAGGTGGAGGCGGAGCAGTGGGGGAAATTTAGGCGCAGGGGAAGTGAAGACTGGAGTTGAAGTCATTTAGGTTAATTTGAAAAAAAATCGAATTTGAACGAGAAGTTTCATTTTCCAAGATAAGGGTAAATGAGTCTTTTGACAGTTTTAAATAATTAAAATTACTTTTATTTTATTAATTCTAGTCAAAGACCAATTGGACAAAATGTATATGAGGAGTGGCCATTTGAACTCATTCCCCGAACTAATTCCCCCCAAAAGAAAAGGAAATTTAATTATTTAAAAGTGTTAAAATACTACTTTACCCTTCTTTTGTAAAAGCGAAGAATCAGGCCTTTAATTCATGTCAAAAACCATTCTTCCCCAAATTAACAATTGAATCCTCTCTCTGAAAGCAAAACCCAAAGTTTCGATAAAAAAAAAACCAAAGATTTAGCACAAAAATCATGCAGATTGATCGAACTGAGGATGAAGACTCGAAAAACTCCTAGGCGTTCAGAAGACTACTCCTTCGATGCTGCTCATCTGAAGAATTCATCTCCAGAGGTGATGGACGAATTAAAGAGATTGAAGGCAAGTGTTGCAGATACTTGTGTCAAAACCAGGTAAGTTTTTATTCTTCATTTTATCTTTGTTCTTTCAGAGATCTGCTGGACATTAAAGTTATTTAGTCAACACCTTAAGGCCTGTTCTCTTTGCTGTTTTCAAACTGTTTTCGGTTTTCGATTTTCTAAAATACCGAAAACGCGTTCTCTTTCTCATTTTTGAAAACGAACTTTTGAAAACAAAAAAATAATTGTATTGAAAACAGAAAACATCCAAAACCACGTTTTGGATGTTTTCAGTGCAAAACACGTTACTTGTAGAAAACACGGGAAACGCCCAATTTCAACCTTTCTCTCCCTGTTCCTATTCTCGTTCCCCAACCTTGTTCTTCCTCTGGTTTTCATTTCTCCCCCTAAACCCACATCTCCCAGCCTTTGCAAGCGACATTTTCGATGCCGGTCGACTTCCAAATTCCCGACGCCTCCCAGCTGTTTTGTCTCAGGAACAATTTCAAGAACTGGCTTTGGCTCTTGAACTTTGTGGTCGACCCTTTCTATGGGTTTTTGGATCAAACTTTGTCATCCCAAAAGACTTTGAGCAAAGGGTAAGACAACGCGGAAAAATTGTCGAATGGGCACCTCAAGAAAGTGTTGGGTCATTCTTCTGTGGGTTGTTTCTTAAGCCATTGTGGGTGGAACTCATCTATGAAGGGCATAAGCATGGGTGTCCCCTTCTTGTGTTGGCCTTACTTTTTAGATCAATTTCATAACCAGAATTACATTTGTGAT